GCCAGCAGAGTCAAGTCAAGCATTTTCTGAATTTTTGATACGCCGAGCCAAGATGTTTGCCATCACTGTCCTGGTTCCTCATACAAGCATCAGCAATGCAGATCAGGTAAATCCCCTTTTCTACCATCATACAATGAATAGAAGATTTTATATTAGACCAGCCTAATGATTTGGCAGTGTCAGCAAGAAGAGCAGAGGATAATAAGTGGTGTAGTATTTTAGATTACATTGGGGAACAATCAAAAGAAATGCAACAGAAGAGAGAACATAACATACTCATATTCCTCAACTTAGGTCTCCTCATGATTGCATAAATACAGGTACTTTAATCCTGTGTCCCTCCAGGTCAGATTATGAGTTGTGCATGTCAGGATTCTTCTGACGCTCGTTTTAATTTTGTTACCCACTTGTGACCCCCCTTCTTTTCTAGAGGTTCTAGAGGTGTGGTTTTACTGAAAGACCATTTTCATAGAAAATTTAAGGCCCCCACCAGGGGTAGACATAAGGGAACAGCGGCTAAAGATCTAAATTGCTTTCAGGGTTGGCTATTATTCCCTAAAGGGCTCTTTCACCTTCCTGATGCTGCCGCCTACCTTTCTGAGGTAGGCAAGCACAGCCCCAAGTAAGAAAATACTGCAGCTTTCTCTATTTAACACCTTACTTCTGGATATTTGTACAGATTGAGGCTGTGGGACAAGTGCAATGGGGCCGAAAAGAAATGGAGGGGGGTGTAATCAGCAAAGGCAGGGTTTTCAGGCTGTGCAATCTTTTAGTGAAGGGAAAAAAAAGTTCCTGGAAGCCCTGAACAAGAGGTAAAGCTCCAGTGACAGAAAATTGGCTGTGCCTGAATGAAGATTCCCCCCCCCCTTAATATCTCATGAAACTCCATCAAGTTCTTGTAGAAAGCTACAACCTGCTGTCAGAACACCGTATGAAAAACCCTACGCACTAAGGCATGTGCGGTAGGACAGGCGGCCAGAGACCCCCTATCACATTTCAGAGATAAATACAGTGCCATCCTGTGTGTCATTTACAGCAATTAATAAACCTCACAGCCTGGGCACATCGGAAGGCAGTGCTAAGAGTTGTACAAAGAGAAGATCACGCACCTTTTCCAGTGCTTTTCTTTTCTTTTCCCCTTAAG